ATAGCTATACTCAAAACCTGGCAGTCCTGCATTTGGCAGGGCCAAGCGTATGGGGATTTTATTGCTATTATTAATATTCTTGAAGCTTGCAGAGCTCCAGCCAGTGTAAAAGGGTTGAGGTTCAGAGCTTTCTGACTGACAAGCTCCAAGTGGTTATAGGCTGTCCCAGCAAGCAGCTTGTCCCCCTCCCTGTTCTAAAAAACCTGTCGTTCCACAAAAGATTCATGTTGATATTGGAGCCTCAGGCTCTTTGGCTTGTATGTGATTCAAATTGTGATGGAAGTGCAAGAGAATGACCCTCTCCCTCTTTCTCTCTCCAAATCTGTCTTCCTATGTACTGCTTGTACTGGCTGGTTGAGGAGAAGGACTGAATGAGTGGGGCAGGAGGGGTGGCATTGATGTGTACTGGGTGGCTGTGGGAGACAAAAGCCTCAATCAGATGGGTGTTTGTCCTGCTGTTTGGTGCACTGTAGGGGGCGCTTGCATTTGGTTTTTTTCCCCTGCCAATCACATGATATAACCACCGGAGTGAACCAAATCATCCCCAGAGCAGTCCTCTATTCCTTGGTGGAGGGGCAGAGGAAATTTAAACAATTTTAAGATTCTGGTAGACTATTGCTGAGGTGCTGCATCAATTTAAAAATTATATATATAAAACAAAATATATAACATTTTGTTTGGTTTCTCTTAAATGACCTGTCAAGAAACTGCCAGTTGCAAATCCAAATTTAAAGTTTAAATTTAGGCCTGTCACTATCTTTCTAAAGATGCACTTGAAAATCCTTCTCAAAATGGCAGTTGTGAGATGTCTCTACTCGAGCCCAGGCAACCATATTTAGCCTGCACCAGACACTCCAAAAGAGACATGTTTGGTTCCCTCGTTAAAGAGCATCAAGGGAAAAAAGTAATTAGTTGTCCCTGTATTGTGTCTGGGTTTGCTGCATTCTTGGATGGCTCCTGTTAATTTTAATTTAGTTGAATTTAATTTAATTCCTATCTTCCTCCTGTGCAGGATTGCAAGGTGGTTCACCACATGAATTAAAAAAAAAACAGATATAACTAACAATGGCTTAATTTATAATATTAAAATACACTTAAATAAGGCATATTAAAACAAGTATTGGATTAGTATTAGTACAAGTACAAAGTACAACACCAAAGTAAACATTTTAAACCAAATGTTTAAAGAATTCTTCCTCCACAGCCATTCAGTGAGTGAAATGATCCTGTGTCTATATACTGTAAATTGTTTTGCCTTTTATCATGTTGAACTACACTGTAGGTCCTGCGACAAGATAAGTTGGAACATGATGGTAGTAATTAAATGCATTCAATGCACATCTATGTCTTAATCAAAAAAGGTTAAATTTAAGCAGGGTATGGACTGGTTCCCAGGAGATGGAGTACTCCATGTGTGTTATTTTTATTGCATTAAATGTAGGAAGGAACTGTGGCATTGAAAAGTATTCTGTATTCTTAGAATATATATTCTGAATTCGTTTCCAGTTAAGTCAAAGACTGTCACCATTCCATTATTTAATTCCAAACTCCAGGTGCTTAGGTAATTGACTTTATCTGAGATTAAAATGTTTCCATAACAAATAAAAGCTTGTACATGTGGTGCCAGCGTAGACTGCAATAAGCCAGAGAAAGAGGTTCTTCTGTGAAATACCAGAATCGTCTTCATATTATGTAATCTGTGGTGCCAAATTCACATATTTTCCAGTAAATACTTCCCCCTGCCAACACACACTGACCATTCTGAATTGGCAAAAAAAGAAAAAGAAAAGAAAAAAAGAAAAAAGAAAAAAACAACCCACAAAACAAAGAAGATTTAGAGCCTAGACCACCAGAAAATACCGCACCTGAACAGTGTAATCTTATGCCTCTTTCTTCAGATATCAATTAAATAGGCTTGGATTGAGTGAGTCTAAGGCCCAAGTAAATGCACTCAGATTTAAGAGATAGTTTAAAATAGAATTTGGCAAAAATGTTTGATTACAACTCCCAGCATGCCTCATCATTGGCTTTATTAGCTAGAATAGGTGGGAGCTGCAGTCCTAAAACATCTGAGGGCCACCCTTTGCCCATCCTTGCTTTAAAAGAATGAAAGGCAGAAAGCATTCAGAGAACATAATGTGACAAAATAGAAGGTACTGTATGCCAACATTATAACGAAAATTGGCAACACCACTCATAAATAAAATCACATGCAGCCCAACGATACAAACACTACATAGAATACAAGAGAATGAAGTACAACACAGTAAACAAAAAATAGTGTGTGATATGTCACATATGGCATATGTCATACAATCTAGGCACAAATACAAATAGGCTCATTAAACACAGTGCAAACAAAACAACACAAACATTGTGTTATACAGTATAACATTTGCTTTTAGCTTCCTATGCCCTCCACTTCCCTAGTGCCATGTCCTCTGGATTAGAGAACACTGGAGACTTATATTTCTCATTATTGATTTTGTTTACAAATATAAATAACTTGATGAAGGAAGATTCCATCAAAAAAAAATTGGGCTGCCTTTTGACGCTCGAACTAGTCATTTGTAATAATTTGGAATGAAAATATTTACTGTGCAAACAACAGGAAATCAACCCTGAGTGCTCACTGGAAAGACAGATCCTGAAGCTGAGGCTCCAATACTTTGGCCATCTCATGAGAAGAGAAGACTCCCTGGAAAAGATCCTGATATTGGGAAAGAGTGAAGACAAGAGGAGAAGGGGACAACAGAGGACGAGATGGTTGGACAGTGTCATCGAAGCTACCAACTTGAATTTGACACAACTCTGGGAGGCAGTGGAAGACAGGAGGGCCTGGCGTGCTCTGGTCCATGGGGTCACGAAGAGTAGGACACGACTAAACGACTAAACAACAACAGCAACAACCTGCAAACAGGCATAGACCTGCTAACAAGACACACCCTGTTTTAATACATACTCTTCTGCTCTGTGACTGCCAGAGGCCGTCTGTTCCCTTCATCTGCCATCCCCTCTCTGCTCTCGCCTTCCATCCAGCTTTGCCCTACTCTGGAGTTCTTTCTTTTCCCATTTTGAGGGACATCACTATGAATGGGTTCAGTTTCAAATTTGGGCGACTCCTCATTTTGCACTGGAAATATCACAGGAGACTTCTTCTTAACCTTAACAACTTGTTGGCAAAGGGGTCAGAGAAACTCAACTCAGGCAACAAGCCGTAACTGTCCAGCACATAATCAGGCCTTCCATCAGTTGAACTTAGAGGGGTGCTGGGCCAAATCTCTCTGCATCTGTCCGTTTCCACAGAGGCGCGCTCCACACTGCGCAGATGGTGCCTCAGCATGGGCATCTTGCCCAATCACCTTCTAGTGGAGGGGTGTTGTGCCGCACGTCTGGTTGTATCACCTGTCGTCCCTGTCCCTTGTTCTTGGGGAAGACCACTATGGACCACTCGAGAGTCTCATATTTCAGCTCCCCACTCTCTTTGGGTGCAGGGTGGGGAAGCAGTCCCCCTAATTTCAGGTTAGGAAAGTCCCTCAGCAACTCCAGTGTCTTGACCCTCTTGTACTCTCTGAGCCTCTCTATTTCCTTCTTCCTTCTCCACAGCTCTACTTCAACCTCAAATTGGTGTTCTCCCTGGCTATTTATACTTTCCTCCTAAACAGACAGCTTTTGCTCCACCCACTCGCGTTCCTCCACTTTACTTTACTTTTATTGAACTTATACCCCGCCCCTCTAGACAAAGTCTACTCCGAACGGCTTACATGAGTAATAAAATACAATAATATAACATACATAATAATAAAAACCTACTAACTAATACGTATATACAATATCAAGATGGGGATAGTTAAGAAACAAAATGAGTTAATTGACTAGAGGGGAGGCCTGCCTAAAGAGCCAGTTTTTTAAATGGCTTTTAAAAACACCCAGTGAGGGAGACAGACGGATTTCCATAGGGAGGCTATTCCATAGCCGAGGGGACACTGCCGAGAAGGCCCAATTTCTT